CGGAAATCGAGCCCACAAACTCATTTGTTTATATTAAACATACAAGTTAATAATCAGAGTCATCTGAATAAAAAATGAAAATATTACTTACCAGTTAGCGAATTAGTTCTCTGACAATGAAGACCCAATGAAGACTATCAATAAGCTACAGAAAGAGAACAGCTCATTTGAACTCAGTTACATCACAGAGACACCAGCCAGAAAACCGTCAGGGAATTTTACTGTAATTTACATGGTTTCTCCGTCTTCCACGCACAAGTGAAAATGTTCACTGGAAGTGTACGTGTGCTGTTCACTAGTGTATCATTAAAGTAAATGTTCACTGGAAGTGTACGTGTGTTGCTCACTGGTGTATCATTAAAATTAAAAATAAATTTAAAATACAGTTGCATAAATAGTCATGGAAGGTCAGAATTAAGCCTCGTTGGTGTCGAGTAAGTGTCGAGTAAGGTCGCGGTAAATCATTGATATGCATAAAGGTCGAGTTTATGACGTCACCCATCGTTATAACCTAGGGAAAATGGGTTGGGAAAAAGTGCCTTCCTACCGATTAATTAAGTGTCTAGTCAGTGTCTTTCTGCATACTAGTTTAGTGCCTTTCTGCATAGTCTTGCCCAAGAGACTATGTAAGACATACACCATGCATTCATCATCATCTTCAAGACAAGACACACAGGTCTAATCATGGCCTCATTAAACTTGCTCGTCAAACTCCTTCCCTCCTCACCCTTTCGCCTTTCCCGTTGTTTTTTCATTGGCGTTCGCCGCTTCCTCTCTGCCTCCTGTTTTTATTTCCATTATCCTCTCAGTGAATTTCTTAAGCTATGCTCGCGGTAAGTATCTTGTTTTGCAACCTAGATTTTATAGGTTGCCACGTGTTCGACATTCGGTCCGGTCACATATATTTTCAAGGTCAGTATTCAGCCTGAGTATTCTCTGCACTTTTTCCCTTTTGTTTGCAGTGTTTTCTTAGTTTTATTCTTTGCTTTGGTTGTATTTCTTTCCAATCCTTTCCTTGTTATTCTTTTTCTGCAGCCGCTCCCGGGATTTCAGTCTTACAAGGGAGTCTAATTCCCTGTCGGATTACAGGTGGGTATTTTGGCTGCTACCCCTCGAGCCGCGTCTTTTCCTATATTGTCCTCACAGTACCAGTTATCTTTCAGGTTGCAATTCCTTAGTTTCATCGATCATTTCCTTCTGATAAGATCCCGTGAGACGTACATTTGTTGGCTCCGGTATTTCTTCAATCTTATTCAGCGGCTCTAGCGGGATAGCAATCAGTCCTTGTTCAGTTTTCGCAGTATGTCCGCGTTTTCTTATTTCCGCATGCGGGGTTTTCAGTTTTTTGTTTCATATGCCTATTTTGTCCTACGCTGTTTAGTATTCGCGCTTCCTAGTTTTATTCATGCACAGTCAGTGCATGAATTTGCTTTACTTGCATGCTGCTATTGCCGTTGGGTTTTTTAAGGTTCGTGTTCAGAGTTCATGTTATTATAAGTTGCTGCATTTTCATGTCTGAGCTATTGTTTGGCTTATGCTTTCGTTTTTGTTTTAAGCAAAACCCACAGGTTTTTGTTCTAAATAAACGTGTTTTGTGACCCCAGAGCAGAAGTTGTTTTAGGGCAATTTTTTCTTTCCTGACTCTGTCGAGCGTGTTTATAACCAGGGGCTTAATTTCGCTAATTTTGCATTACCCCCTGATCTTGTTTACAATTTGTTTTGTGGCTCCAAAGCAGAAGTTATTTTACGGCAATTTTTGGTAACCTGACCCTGCCGAGCCTTTCTTAGAACCAGGGACTTAATTTTGCCAAATTTTATTACGCCCTGGTCTTGTTTACGATGTGTTTTGCGGCCCCAGAGCAGAAGTTGATTTAGGGCCAATTTCTGTTACCTGACTCTGAAGAGCGTCTTGGAACATTAATAAAAATTCGCACCGATATATCATCACACACCCATAAACCGGTAAATCTTCTGTTAAGCCCCCTTCTCTTAGCCCCCCTTTTCAATCCCCCCGCCCCTTATTCATTGGTCCAAACGAAATTACGGAATATTCGTATTGACTAATCAGTACTTTAACACTTCATGTTGACTGATCCGGTATGGTTTATTCATCAGATTCTCGGGCTGGAAGTTGGGATTTATCTAATAGGAAGGCACGACTTCCAACTACAGATGCTTGAGATTTTCCACTTAGCGTTCCCACTAGTTATTCATGGAGAATTGAACCTGACCATACCACTGACGACACCATATGCATCTTTTAGTTATTTGAAAAGGCAATATCTAAAGCCCCCAATTAAATAAGCCCCCCCCTCAATTAAGCCCCCCCCCCCCCCCCCCCATCCCCATCAAACGTGTTTGAAATAAATAGCTCCCCCTCTCCCCCACCCCCACCACCCCCTTTGAGGGCTTTACTGAGGGTTTCCGCACAGCAAACTGATCCTGACGGCAACGAAGCGATGAAAGAATAATCAAAATCAGATAGAAAAACGGAAAATATACTTTCAGCAAAATTACCCAATATTTTAGTCTTGAAGACAAACCTTCAGCGGATAAAATAAAAGGAAAAATATAATTTCAGTCCTAAGCTAAATTCAAAATCATAATCGGCTAATAAATATGGAAATTTTCCGTTTAACAAAGTGAATTTCGATTTAGAATTGCGAGAAATCCCTATACGTAACGAATGCATAGAGAAACAGTATAATTTCAAGGTTTTTCGAAATTTTTCCGGGAAAATAATATACAAGAAGGATAACTCATATTTTTGACAATTATGGAGGGATTTAAATTTCCACTTGATTGTGTTACCGGAATATTCGGAAATGTCGACTGAATGACACACTTTCGCCGAAAATTTTACCAGTTCTTGTATTCAGGAAAACTTCCAGTTAGGAGGAGAATTTAGGAGAAGTCTACACACGAGCTACTCTTGTGTTTAGTAAACTGAGGAATCGATATCACCTTTCACCGTTTAAGAAGTGTTTTTCTCTTTAACTATAAACCACTCACTTCCGCCTCGTTCAATAACATCGCAGACAAAATGGCGAGGACAAATAAACACGCATCAAGAAAAGTAACAGGTGTTTATACCGAGAGAACCGTCACGTTATTATTAAAACTATCCGTCATTAGTTCAGTTAGGTAAAATAATTGAGGCCCAAAAAGAACACTTTCTCTTAAATATTTCTTTTTCAAAATTGAACCCTAAGATTTTAGCGTCCAGGCAATATACGCGTCAGTCAAACTTGAGGCAATTGTAAATGAAACCTCTAAGGCGCGCCACCTCAAACAAGTGATAAATAAGTAAATACTGCGCACTTAGTTAATATTAGTTTCGATAATAAAAGGTAAAACAGCTAAGGAGAGCCCCATATCGGTATATTAATATAGCACTCTTTTGCGCGTAGTTGCATCGCAGACAAAATGACACTGAAGAATTTACTGAAGGTGAAAACCAGAAAACAATCGTAGTACTATCCTGCTCTGCGGAATTTACTGCAGAGGTACAAGGCGAACTGATCTTTCTGTCAATTGTAAACATCTTTCTGTTGATTACAGCAGTTCTGGGAAACACTCTGATCCTAGTTGCTTTACACAAAGAAACTTCACTTCACCCGCCGTCCAAACTCCTGTATCGTAACCTAGCCTTAACTGATTTCTGTGTTGGTACAATTGCGGAGCCTCTCCATGTTGCCTATTGGATTTCTGTGGTGACGGGAAAATCGGATATTTGTTATCTGGCTCATTTGATGGTTACTTTGGCAGCATATACCTTTTGAAGTGTCTTTATTAACACTGACTGCAATAAGTGTGGACAGACTTTTCGCCTTGCTACTGGGGCTCAGATACAGACAAGTTGTAACTGTGAAAAAGACATACATAGCTATACTTGCCTTCTGGATTGTTTCTGTTGTTGGCGTACCAGCTTCTACAGCTATACGAGAGTATGTTCACTACACAGGTACAGCGCTGCGCTTAGCCATCACAATCGTCGCTTACTCAAAGATTTTCTTCCGTCTGCGTCATAACCAAATTCATCGGATCCACCCCTTACCAGGAGAAAGCCAAGCCATTCAAATGAACAAAGCTCGATACAGAAAGGCAGTGTACAGTGCACTGTGGTCGCAGGCAGCATTGGTCCATTGCCAGAAATAAGGGACAAGATGGCGCTTGCGCGTGCGCACTAAGGCCATAATGGCTGCGAATTCGTACAAGAAAATGTATGGAGATAAGGAAACTTGTTCAGATATATCGATTATGAGCTTACGGGTCTTCGGTGCACGACTCCTAACATGTTAAGTGCTGTGTAACCTTGGCATCTGGGTTAAAAATGGCTGATTAGAAGTAGGTTTACTTACTTCCCGAAGTGGCTACTTTTATCTCTCGTTGTACGCTCCATTTCTCCATACATTGTCTTAAAATCTTGCCGAAGTCATGCGAAATACTCGTCGATTAGAGGATAAACCCTTCAATGAAGTAAATTTGCACGACTCGATATCACTTCTGCGACGTAAGATGTTTCCTAAACAGTCGTAAAAAGGAGGATTTTGGCACTGCAATTTACTTCCAAAGGCGCATTATTTCCCTCAGTTTTCCATCTGTAGTCCAGTAATGGACGCCATAGTTGCGAATGACTCATTTCGGTCGGACAAAGCTTCAAAACTCCAAACCTCACCGAATCGCCATTTTGTTTGTTGCTACAACTCCAGAGATGCTTCACGGGATATAAACTAGGTTCCAGGCATTCAAAAATCCTCGATTAGCCTACCAGGCTTAGTTTTAAAACAAAAAGGTAATAAATCCGTGTTCACCTACACGAATATAAAAAATCCGCTTAAAATATCTTCATGTAACATGTAACTATGTGTCACTCAACATAACTATGCATCACTACCAATCACCACCTATCACTGTCCATCACTACACATCACTACATATCACTACACATCACTACAGATCACTACACATCACTGCATATTACTACAGATTACTACTCAACACTACCCATCACTACACAGCACTACCCATCATTACACATCACTATCCATCACTATCCATCACTACACATCACCACCCATCACTATCCATCACTTCACATCACTGTCCATTACTACGCGTCATTATCCACCACTACACATCACTGTCCATCACTACACATCACTAAACATTACTGTCCATCACTACACATCACTATCCATAACTACACATCCCTGTCCATCACTATACATCACTATCCATCACTACACAGCACTGTCCATTACTACACATCACTGTCCATCACTACACATCACTATCCATCGCTACACATCACTATCCATCACTACACATCACTGTCCATCACTACACATCACTATCCATCACTATCCATCACTATCCATCATTATCCATCACTACCCATAACTACACATCACTACCCATCACTATCCATCACTACCCATCTCTACCCATCACTACAAATCACTATCCATCACTACACATAACCACCCATCACTATCCATCACTAGCCATCATTATCCATCACTACCCATCACTACGCATCACTACCCATCACTATCCATCACTACCCATCTCTACCCATCACTACACATCACTATCCATCACTATCCATCACTACACATAACCACCCATCACTATCCATCACTATCTATCACTATCCATTACTACCCATCACTACACATCACTATCCATCACTATCCATCACTACACATCACCACCGATCACTATCCATCACTATCCATCATCACACAACTATCCATCACTATCCATCACTACCCATCACTACACATCACTACCCATCACTACCCATCACTACACATCACTATACATCACTACCCATCACTATCCATCACTACACATCACTATCCATCATTACCCATCACTATCCATCACTACCTATCACTATCCATCACTACACATCACTGTCCATCACTGCACATCACTATCCATCACTACGCATCACTGTCCATCAGTACACATCACTATACATCACTATCCATCACTACACAGCACTGTCCATTACTACACATCACTGTCCATCACTACACATCACTATCCATCGCTACACATCACTATCCATCACTACACATCACTGTCCATCACTACACATCACTATCCATCACTATCCATCACTATCCATCATTATCCATCACTACCCATAACTACACATCACTACCCATCACTATCCATCACTACCCATCTCTACCCATCACTACACATCACTATCCATCACTACACATCACCACCCATCACTATCCATCACTAGCCATCATTATCCATCACTACCCATCACTACGCATCACTACCCATCACTATCCATCACTACCCATCTCTACCCATCACTACACATCACTATCCATCACTATCCATCACTACACATAACCACCCATCACTATCCATCACTATCTATCACTATCCATTACTACCCATCACTACACATCACTATCCATCACTATCCATCACTACACATCACCACCGATCACTATCCATCACTATCCATCATCACACAACTATCCATCACTATCCATCACTACCCATCACTACACATCACTACCCATCACTACCCATCACTACACATCACTATACATCACTACCCATCACTATCCATCACTACACATCACTATCCATCATTACCCATCACTATCCATCACTACCTATCACTATCCATCACTACACATCACTGTCCATCACTATACATCACTATCCATCAGTGCACCTCACTGTAAAACCTCGCAAGAGGTGAACGGCCGCACATCTTCACCGGCGTGAAACTTTTGAAAACCTTTTACATATTTATTTCACTATCCATAACTACCCATCACTACACATCACTACCCATTACTATCCATCAAATTGTCTATTGTACATTTTAAACGTTCTGCTCAACTTACACAATTTTCCCTTGCTGAACATAAACTGTACCGAGCTGTATCTTGGTCCGCTATATATAAGCTATATCATGGTTGAAATTTTAAACTGTAAGGTCCCTGAAAGAGGTCTCCGGCAATGGAGCAATATGTAAAAGGTTTTCAAAGGTTTCACGCCGGTGAAAATGTGCGGGCTGTCACCTCTTGCAAGTTTTTACTCGCAATAATCCCCCTTTTTTTTCAAGAAAGAATAAGCCATTTTCAGATTGTTATCCAGAGTGACCATGCCACTTTTCCTTTAAAGTGCCCTTTATATTTTTGCTTCAATATTAAGCAATGTTTCTGTAACTAGTCACTAAACAATAAAGACAAAAGTGTTTAGTAAAAGAAGAAAATGTTAAAAAGTGCTTCCAAATAAACATGCTCTTTTTGCTTAAAAAACGACCACTGTAGTTTTAAGCTGTAATAATATTACAGGACTGAGTTCTCTGGCAGTTTCAACACGCTGTAACTGCATTACATAACTTGACTGATGATACCGTATTGACTTTCCCTATGGTTGAAGGATTTAGTCCTATACGTGAAAAAGAATTAGCAACAACAAAAATCATGTACTTATGTGCCTTATACTTTGAAATAAGAAGTTTTATTGATTATTTTTCTTTGTGATATTGGGTTATGAGGGGTTTGCCAAAACCGCGGTTCGGTTCGCGCCGCACAGGGAGCTTTAGCATCGACGACGGCAACGGCAGCGAAAACGTCAGTTTTAAAATGAATTCCCGTTTTTTCAATCTTTGTCGCGTTTATTCTAATTTGCTGAAAATGGCAAGTGTAGGCGAATTTCCCTGGAGTTGATTTCTTGAGGACCGCACTCAAGTTTAGAGGAGGAAAAGAGATTCGTCGTCGCTTGTCTACGTCCTCCATAAAACTTGTAATTAGGCATTTTCACGTCGTAGTCGTGCAAGGACGGCAAAGAAATGTACAAAAAAGCGTTATGCACGTGCAAAGTTGTTGTTTTGCGTAATAAACCTATTGCTTTTTTGACGTCCTGGTTGCCGTCGCCGTCGTCGTTGCTAAAGCTTCCAGCAACGACGACGGCGACAGCAACGAGAAAGCAATACGGGTTTAATTTTATTACGCAAGACATCAACTTTGCAGGTACGTCACTCATTTATATACATTTCTTTACCGTCCTTGTACGACTACACCGTGAAGATGGCGACGGCAACGAAAAGATCACTTTTAAAATGAATTAGCACTTTTTCAGACTTTGTCGCTATTATTACAACTCGCTGAAAATGTCTACTGTAGGTTAATTTCCCTAGAGTTGATTTCCTGGGGACCGCACTCAAGTGTAGAAAGAGAAAGAAATTTCGTCGTACCTAACTTCTTCCATAACATGAAATTAGGCATGAGAAGAGCTTATACAGTCAATAAGAATGGCGTACAGCTTTTTATCACAGGTGGAAGGATAACCAATCAAAGAAAGCGTAAATGCCTTTGAGCAATCAAAGCCGTTAATCGTTTGCATTCACATGGCTTTCCTTTATAGCAGCGCCTTCAACTTGTACTTCAGAAACTGGCAAGACGAAGAAAAACTATAACAGGTTTGGGTAGGTTCTCGGTTGATTAGTTTACTCCTCATAAGAGTTTGTGCGGCATCAAAGCATGTTCTTAACTCGCTGCTCTAGTGATCTATTTAAACAATAAACTAGTTTTCAATGTACTTCTCAAATCATTAATAATTCATATTCAAGGAAATTACTGTTTAATGAGTGTTT